ATACACCGACACCTAGACTACTATTCAGTCCTTATCATACAACTGTCAGTATATATGTATACTACATATGAATTTAGGATATAAATCTGACGACGACAGAGACGACTTCGAGACGTAGACTCTAAGTTCAGACAATGTAAATTCTGTTACTTCGGCATTATTACTTTTCAATTAAAATAAACACTGAGGCGTCAGCAGGAACGTTGTAATGATGCCAAAGTTAATTTTTGTTCTTTCACAAACCCGGGAAGTTTTTGCGGATTGTTTTTCCCAAATATTATTTGTCCCTAGGTAGTTGCTGCATTCCGAAAATAAAATAATGTCAGCTATTAAACGGCAGGATATATGTTCTACCCTTGACTAAAGGACACCGCCAATGTTGGGGATGATCGAACTTTACACCTCCAACAATGGTTATTGGTTTCTGAATATCGTAAAAATGTTTGTATCAATCACCAATCAATTTATCAAACTAGATATCATTCAAATTACAAATTTTGGCCAATAATCGTACATTATTAAAAAATAATTACTGGATTCCAGTTTTTCGACCATAATTTGATAAGTTCTTCATATCGAAGACCTATTTCAATTGCGCCATATATATGTAATCCGAGTCCGAGTGTTAACCCCCGTTTGTTAGACAAACCCAAAACAATACAAAACCGACATGAATTAGTAGCAACATTCAACACCAACGATTTGCATAGATTAAACGGTAATCGCTGCAAATCGACATCGCTTATTTGGTGTTGAAATATTGACGACTTTTATTGCCGCCACTTCTTTTGACACATTTTTCTTGTTTTTGGTTTTTATCTATTATTTTCATTGTTATTAACGGCATTTGGTCGGTGGCTGCTTACACTGGCCAAAAGCAAAAAATGCGCTTTGACCGCAGAGCAACATTTGCATGGCTGAGCAGTTAAAATTGATTTGAATTTGCATTTTCGGTTTCTGTTCTGCCTTTTTCCCCGGCCATAAAACACGAACACAAAAAGCTTTGCATATTTGAGTTTTTTGTTCCCTGTGTTTAATGCAAATTGAAAATATGCATTGACCAATCTTGTCCGCGTTAACAAAAACAAAAAAAAAACCGAAATTCAAATCGAGAAAAACCAATAAAAAGTTCGATTGAGAGGCGAAACGTTAAACCAATAGTACGAAAAATAAAAATTAAAAATAACAATTTTGCAAGATTTTCCACATAAAAAATTCTATCACACCCATACATACATACATTGTATGATGGATGGGAATCCAAAAAAATAATAAAACAAACTCTGCACCCAGAACATATGACATTTACACACAATTTTATGCCAATTGATCAGAAACACTGTGGGAGTAGCATCACACAATATTAAAATTCCAATATGGCATTCGTTTATCATTTCCGACTAAGGATATTTTTGTAAAATATATATAAATACAAATCAAAACAAACAATTGATTTAAGTCTAGGCGTATTTTATTGTATTAAATTAAAACTGTAACTACATGTATGCAGATAAAATATTTTCTATAAATTGACAAATATTTAATTGTTGATGGTTTCCCAGAATAAAGAAATATGCAACAAATTACACATCCCAAGAAACAACAGATAAACTATATTTCTACAGTGAACATTGCCATGATTCCAGCATTCCAGAAAGTCGAATAACTGGATAATTTCTAACCAACACGATGAGATTACTTGCCTACAAATTATATGATAGTTGAGTTGAATATTCTAAGCGTGAGAAAAAGAGGAAAACGGGCCAATTGAACATCTTCTTTGCGGATGCCTCATGTATTTTTGGCAGATATGAAGGACTCGCTCGTAATATAAACATGAAGGTTAAGTATATTTCTCGTCGTATTTTGATGAAATTTGAGGTTAACTCTTGGCTAGTTTCAATAATATTGGAAATTAAATGAAATCTTTATCTAAAACATAACGAATTTGGATCAAATATGAAGATAGTCATTGTATACTACATTCGGTTCCTTGTCTAAAGTCGATACGCCTGTCTTAATAGCAACGTGTCCGTTGTAAATTACGCCGTTTCGGCGTAACTTTAAATCTATGGTATCGCACAAGTTTTGGTAATTTGTTAAATTTTTGCGATATTTATAATTTTATTTCGTGATGTGGGAACAATATATAACCTATTTTATAGTGTAGGTTATATATTCATAGGATAATTTGAGCTGTTTGATGAACGGAATGTGAACATTTATAGCATACACACATTAGCAAGGTAGGGTATCAGAAGGAATGTACCAATTATTCCCATATTCGGCTTTGTAAAGATAATAGGTTGTGAAAAGCTCGGTTCAAATAAGACATTCCATTCGCCTGTTTTGCATTCGTCAATTTTGATACAAATCTTGGTTTCCAAGAAAATGTTACAAAACATATTGTGTTGTATATTTTATCATGTTTAGGAGCACATAGCCACAAACAAAATCAACACCACTTTACAATATTTTTGAAACAAATCAAGCCTAAATCATTAAATATTTCAGTAAAAGAAAATTTGACTTAAACCACTTTCAAATATTAAGTTTATAACCAGTGAGCAGAGCAGTATAGTCGGACGGGGCCAAACATATGATATACTACACAACTTCCACGAAAATCTAACTTTCTAACTTTCCTTGGCCATACCTGGATCCTCATGGAAAATTTCAAAGCGATCACGCTATATGTTCGCCCTCTAGTGTGGTAATGGGTTACTAAATAATATATGAATATGTAAGCACGTGTAAATATTTAAGTGTAACTCCCGCAACCGAGTACATACGACACTATAATTGGTATCAATTTAAACGTCAACCAGTCCTTTTGGATATGCTATCAACTATATACGCTATAGAATATAAATTTTGTCAGTCCATTTGACCCGCTAAATATTGACCTATCTTTATCAAAACAGGCATGCTTATTCTTCGGCCCTATTCTCTTTTCCATGGAAAAAATCGCAATGAGTGGGTCATAATTGCGGCCTCTTGAGCGACCAGAAAATCAGACAAAATTAAAGTTTTTGGTCCATTTTATATCCAACATAGTGGAGGTATCAGAAAGAGTGGACCTATGGGACCCATTGGTCTAACTTCATCTATGCTTGGTAAACTATGTTTGGAAGAGATATTACGAGGTGCAAAGTTTTTATGAAATCGGTTACTGCCTTGGAGATATATCGTACGCACCTGTTGGCTAGAAAGACGAACGGACATTTTTAAATCGACTACAGATTGTATGAAACGGATTTGTTCATGAAGTCTAAAACCAAAATTCCGATCAGGCACATTTTTGCGTATCAAACTGTATATACCCTCATGAGCCATTAGGCTGAGGGTATACATATTAGGTTGGGAAATAAGAAATTTTGTTTTAGCAAAATAGTCAGGCTGAATCCCAGTTTGTTGTTTTTATAAAAGACAACTATTTATTAGCGGGGAATTGTTCTCCGAGGGGTAAGGCAGGGAAGACTGTAGTTTCGGATCTCTCCACTGATTCTAATCAGTTCCCTTAGTTTTTTGTTGGGATATTCTCCCCAGAAGCTATTTATTGCTTCTTTACAAGAAAACGTTAATACCCAAATGTCTTTTGTAACAAATCGAAGTACATACGTTACTAGTGATACGACCTCAATGATAAGTTCGTTGGTGCCTGACTTCTTGGTTAACAAGGCATTTGCAGAAAAATTGCAATACATTTCCCACTGCTCTGTGTCGTCACTTTGCGACGAATGCACATAACGTTGTTGTTGGTATTGCTAGTTAAAGCAACAAACCAAACAGTTTGAACGTGCCTGCGTCTACAACTTCAGTAGTGTTGGCGGGTTATTTGGGATACCATTTGTATTTTGTTTTTCTCCGATTTTATTGACATTTTCGACGATCGGCCTACATTCCGTTTAGAAATTAACATCAAAAATTTCTAAACGGAATCTACGAAACCAAAATGAATCATAATTGGCTGTTGCAGTGTCGGAACCATAAACACCATCCACAATTTTAGCCGATTGGCTTGAATTTTCGCCTTTGTCAAAGAAAAACTGTAAAATGTATCGAATTTTCTCATTGTTCACTTCCATTTTAACACCCTGTAACTCACAACTAAATGCACCAAACAAAAAAGCAAAAATTTTTATTTACTGCGAGATGTCACCCTTCCAACGAGCATAAATCTAAAATTGTTTGATCGATACTTTTCAAATTCATTAATGGAAATTTCTATTGTGTCAATCCAGTGATTTGAGTGGGTTTCCGACGTTTCTGACGTATGTATTATACGTCGGAAATGTATGTCATTCACGTCATTGTTTCTGACGGACCATCTTTACTCGCATGTATGTCGATTGAGTCTTGAGTTTTATTTCAATCGGTTCAGACTGAATATAGTCTTCATATATATTTTCGGTCGATTCTATCCAAATGGTGTAAAAATATAATTGTAATTATCGTGTAAAAATCAACATTATTTATTATTTTTTTTTTTAAGTTCACGTTATCATAACTATACCCTGAAGATCATTTATAGAATATCATTCATATAATATTTTATACAGTATAAACTTGATAATCCGGACCTCGACAATCCGGATTATTCGGTAATCCGGACTGCATTTCACAACCCATTGCGTATCCTATAATCCGGATTGATTGACCTATTTGACTCAAAAATCCGGATTGTAAAGATACGTTTCTTTTTATTTTAATAAAAAAATCGTTGCAAATTTAATTGAAAATGGCACCTATTATATTCAAAGTTCATATTTTTGAAATGAATAATTTTCGTTTTTAATAAAAAAATAAAAATTATTAAATTATCACCAAATTAATATAAATTTAAACCAATTAATAAAACTCGATAATCCGGAAATCTCGGTAATCCGGATTGGGGTCTGCAATCAATTATCCGGATTAGCGAGTTTTTACTGTATAAAAATATTTAAAATATTTAAAAAAAAATATTTAACTGATGTAACTAAAAATATATATTTCAGATATTCTCCGTTAACACCACCGACTAGAAACTGGTTTCCTGTAAAAGGTGTTTCCATTGCTGCTGGTTCCTCCCATTGCAATCAATTCATTTGTGAGGTGGAATTGGAAAAACTAAGTCCACAGTCCTCTGGATCATATCGTTGTGAAGTTTCTGGTGATTCGCCTGAATTTAAATTAATAGGCGAATCGTCCAATATGACTGTTGGTGGTAAGTTTCAAAGAGTTGTAGATAAAATATAATTATTTTATTATTTCAAATATAATATTTCGCTTCATTGATGCTTCACCGACATTCAGCACATCTCAAATTTCTCAATGACATAATCTTAATAATTTGAAAAGTGACATACGAGTAATTATTATTATTCTACCTGCATTGGATACACTATTATATGGATATCATATTTCGTGAATGTACGGTTATAAGTAGCATTTAGAAATTAATATAAAAATAGTTTTAATAAGCATTTGATCATTTTAAAACTTAACTATATCTACAAAAAATATCTTGGGTAAACATATTCAAAGTGTTGCTAAGTTTCACATAAAGTAAATTTGTTTTTCCGTTTGGAACACCTCTTAATAATCGTCGGAGATCCCATAAAGATTATATTCATGATCAGAATAAATTTTTATGTCGATTTAAGCATGTCAGTCTGTTGAAATCACAATCGCAGTATTTAAGATAGAGCTTTAAAATTTGGCACATATATTGTTAATACTTCTAGCAGGGACGTACACAGAGGTTGTTGACCCTATTTGCATTTTCTCGAATCAACCAAATTCTTCATTGTATACCATCGTCAATGTCTAAAGAGGGAAATTTTTATCTTCTCCACCAAGAAGGAGAAATCACTGCGATATAAATTTTGTTGATATTGACATTGATTTTTCACAACATACTGAATTGGGTCCAGGTTGATGTATGCAAAGTTTTGTTGAAATCGGTTCAGATTTAGTTATAGCCAGTGTTGCCAAAACTTTGTTGATAAAAAATGCTAGATTTTGTTTAAAAAAGTGCTAAAAAAATTAAAAAGTGCCAAATAAAAGTGCTAAAAATTGTATAAGAGAAATTAGAAGAATTGACTTTAAGGGAACATCCCCACCCCCATTCCCGATTTTAAATTTTCAAGGTTTTCAATGGGCCGGATATATGTTTGAAGATTTAAAGAAAAAGAAAAATGGTTTACAATTTTTTTGTTATTGTTTTGATGTTGTTGTCGTATGAACTAGGATTATTGGCTTTGCTCAAAAATCAACAAATTGACGGACCTTTAAAAAAATATTTTTTAAAAATCGCCTATTTTTTACCACAAACCACGTTAAGGAAGATCTTGACCGATTGAATGTATCCTAGTTCATACGATAGCTATACACTCACAGAGAAACGTCCGAAAATTTGGAATCGATCGAATTATTAGTTTTTGAGTTATCGTGCCCGCCATTCGCAAAAACGCTGTTTGGTGAAAAATGCGTTTAAAGTTTGAAAAGCCTTGCCGTCACTTAATGCTAGCACAATAAATCGGCTATATCTTCAAGAGTTGTTGAGATTTTCACTTGAAATTTCATTCTTGTAGATTCGAATTAAATCAAAATACAAAATAATTTTTTTTAACCGAGGGGTACCCCTAAATATGATATGTTGCTTTCTTAAAAATGTCCATACCAAAAATTATCAATGTGGATCTATGTTTCGAGGTAGTCCCTAGAGAAAGGCATTTTGGAGTCGTCGAGCAAGTTTTTCATCAAATTGACTATAATTTGAAACTTTTAATTTTTTGTGGAGTTTCGGGGAATGTCATATATACAGAAATTGTCAAGGCACATGTACTCATATTGAAGTACTGCTCTACCATCTTTATGTGGAAGGTTTTAGACGCATTATCTGTATTCTCGAAGGGTAGGATATATTTATGCGGGCAATTTTCTACATATGTCTATGTTTGGACATACCCCCGTTTTAAGATTCTATTCTATTTGTGTTCTTTAAGGACTTGAACCTTTTCCCGACGAAGTGTAGGCCCATCTTTTCACATAACCCCATTATAATGTGGGGCGCGACCCATTTTCGGTACTCTGAAATGGCTACAATTTGGTATTCGGGATTCCCGATGAATAAAGAACTCATTTCTCCTTTCCGATTTAGGTCCAGGATTTTACTTCGCTCTTAATTTGGTTTTTCATTTTACCTAATAAACAACCTACTAGCAGGCGATGCTATAGTAAGCGTATGAAGTACCCGACCATTTTTGAGAAAATTTTAATACACTCCACATGGTGCAGGGTACAAACTGTTCTGACCGTTCGAACTTTAATACATATTTACAAATGTACTGGCACTTTTTTTTACATTGAACATTAAAATTATAGCGTGAAACATAGGGACATTTTAATGTGTCAATGTGAAATCGAATTAATACCCAAAATTGTAACTAATTCCAAATAAATAAATAAAAATGCTAAAAAAGTGCTAAATCTAGCACTATAAGTGCTAAATTGGCAACACTGGTTATATGAATGTTTAGTCCGGTTTTATATGAATGATTCACGAAACTTCCAATATTTGTCCGATTGTGATAAAATTTTGCACAGAGTAATGAATTAGGTCTAGGCTGATGTATGCCAAGTTTTGTTGAAATCGGTTCAGATTTAGATAGTGTCGACCGATTGTATGTGAATGATGCTCCAAACTCCCAACATTTGTCCGATTGAAACATAATTTTGAACAGAGTACTGAATTAGGTCCAGACTAATGTATGCGAAGTTTTGGCTATAGATATAGCTCCATATACAGTTTCGTCCGATTTTAGGTGAATGGTGCACTTAACTCACAATTTGTGTCCGATTGTGTCGAAATTTGGCATATCGTATGGAATTAAGACAAGGATAAAGTGTGTTAAGTTTGATTGAAATCGGATCAGATATAGATATAGCTCCTATATATAGTTCGTCCAATTTTAGGTAAATGGTGCAACAAACTCCCACGGTTTGTCCGATTGAGGTATGCGAAGTTTTTATTTTTTGTCCGATTGAGACGAAATTTGGCATAACATATGGAATAAAGACTAGAAGAGAATGTGTTTTGCGTAGCGAACTGAATTATGTTCACTACGATGTCTGTAAAGTTTTGTTGAAATAGTTTGTGTACCGGTTCAGATTTTGATGTACCTCCCATATATAGTTTCGTCCGATTTTATGTAAAAGATGAACCAAACTCCCAAAGTTTGTCCGATTGAGACTAAATTTTGCGCAGGGTGCTGAGTTAAGTCCCGCTAGACGTATGTTGAAATCGGTTCAGATTTAGATATAGCTTCCAAATATATTTTCGTACGCATTTATTTAAATGGTGCAACAAAACCCCAATATTTTTTCGATTGAGACATTAAGTCCAGTTTGATTACATGCAAATTGTGCACCGAGGACCTTATGTTTGTTCGCGTTACATGAGATATAGCAGAGAGTATTGGATTCAAATTTGTTGAAATCGGTTCATGTTTAGATATAGCTTCAATATATATTCCCATCCGATTTCAACTAAAGGGTGTACTAAATAACTAAAGTTTTTCCGATTGTGACGAATTTCTGCACAACGTATCAAATTGGAGCGATAATAAAGCGTATTGGACTTTGTAAAAAATATTCACATGTAAATATGACCCCTATATATTTTCGTCTAAATGGTGTATACCACGGTTGCTCACTCACGTCCTGATTTACATATAGCTCCCATTCTAATTTTGCTCGATTTCATACAAATGGTACACCAAAGAATACAAGTCTGCCCGATAGGCATACAATTTTTTATAGATATCAGAATGGCATGTGTATGGTTTTTTATTGGTTCAAATATCTATGTAGATCACACATTTAATTTCGCCCGTTTCCATTTCAATGGTCCTCCACAGATGCTATGTCTATTCTATCTACAGAATATCGTACATATTAGCAAATCTTGTATGTACCCAAAATGGTGAAAGGTATCATATAGTCGGCCACGTCCGACCTTTTACCTTTCCTGAGTTTTTTTATTATATGGAATATCAACTAGTAATAAATATTTTTCGACACAAGTAAAATAATTTTAAGATTAGAAGTTTCTGCAAAAAATCTACCAAAAAAAGACCGTTATCGCTGACAAAATTGTATATAATTTAAAAAATTTGCATATGTCTAATTTGACCTTCTGTGTTGTGCTCAATTTTTTGATTTTGCCAAATAAACTATACTACTATTTTATTTCAGCATTAATCGCATATTGAATACATGTTAATAACACTACAATATTAAATATATCTGAATGCCACGTATTTTGTATACTTCACCATTTGTGGCTGTGTTGCATCGATAACAGTTATGTCACACACACACACAGATGCAGACATGCATACAAACAATGACACTTTCTAATTTATCGTTAAATATGTATTCCATGAATCAAAAGTCCTCAGGGTAAAAAATATTTATGTGCACATCTCTGTGCATATCTGCCATTGAACTGTCAGAAAAGGTTAAATGTGAACCTTTTATTTTGAATGCACTTAATTTAGTTTAAAGGCCATACTGACAAACACACAGACTTCAATTGCAGTACGAGACAGCCTAAATACAAACGTTCGATTGTATAATCCTTAGGCCTTAGGGTACTCTGGCGTCGCACAAATAATCAACAATGAATTCCCCATTTATCGGGATTAATTAATGTGTAGCTTATATCCGGTGATGTTTGCTCGTAGATTCGTTACAAAATTAAACGCGGTGAGACTTTGTGTATAAAGTGTGAAATTAATTTAGTTGTAATTACACATTTGCATAGAAACGGTTCTCACATTAGAATGCAAATGAATGAAAAGAAATTACATTTCCAAATAAAACTACAGATTGTTTGGTAATTCCAAATAAGGAGGCCATAATACTCGCATGCGTATTTACATTGTCAACACTTAATTGGAAATTTAGACTTTATTTGTAAATCGGATAAGTAGCAGGAAATGATTGATTTTCTATCAAATGTAAGATTGGTAAATGGGAGTGGGTATGTGTATGTAAGGAATGTTGTTGTACCTATAGATTAATGGTTAGAACCAATGCAACGGAGTCAAAGCAGGAGTCTATGAGTCAGAGTCGCTACATTTAATGGTATCTAAGTGGGAATGATAAACTCGACAACGGAACAATAATTTTAAAATGAAATACACCCTTTATAAAATT